ATCCACCCTAACCTGCACATCCCTGGGCACTATGGGACAATTTAGCATGGCCAATCCACCCTAACCTGCACGTAAAGTCATTGAGTTGGACAGCACAGAAACAGACCCTTCAGTCCAACTCGTCCGTGCTGACCCAGATATCGTAAATTAATTTGGCCCATGTTCCTCTAAGCCCTTCCTATTCATGTACCCACCCTGATGCCTTTTAAATATCATAATTGTACCTGCTTCCACCACTTCCTCTGGCAGCTCATTCCATACACTCACCACCCTGTGTGAAAAAGTTGCCCCTTGGGTCCCTTTTAAATCTTTCCCCTCTCACCATAAACCTATGCCCCTCTAGTTTTGGGTTCCCTTACCGAGGAAAAAGCCTTGGCCAATCACCCTATCTATGCCCCTCATGATTTTATAAACCTCCATCAGGTCACCCTTCGATGCTCCAGGGAAAATAGCCCCAGTCTATTCAGCCTTTCCCTATAGCTCAAATCCTCCAACACAACCACCGTCCTTGTAAATCTTTTCTACACCCTTTCAAGTTTAACAACATCTTTCCTAAAGCAGGGAGGCCAGAAACATCTTTGAACTGTAGGACGAAACAGGAGCAAACTCACGCAGACATCAGGAGAATGTACAAATTCCACAGTCACCAGAGGCTGGAATTGAACTCAGGTCCCTGGTATTGTGAGGCAGTAGAGCTAACCACTGAGCTACTGGACAGCCCTCTCGTTCAAGACTGTCCTACAAAGGGGAACATCTGTTCAACATCCATCTTACCAATCCCCTTTAGCAGTTACGTACCTCAATCAGATCCCCCCACATTCTTCCGAGATCCAGAAAGTACAAATCCAAACTATTCAACTGCTCCTCATATGTATAGCCCTTTCAGCCCTGGAACCAACCTGGTGGACCTCCTCTGAACTGCCTCCAGTTCCACCACATCCTTCAAGGAAGGAGACCAAAGCTGGAATCGATACTCCAGATGTGGTCTCACCAATGCCTTATATAATTGTAACAACACTTTCCTTTTATAATCCAGTCCTTTTGAAACAAAAGGCCAAAGATTCCATTTGCCTTTCTTATTCTACGCTGCACCTGCAGACCCACTTTCTGCAAATCATGCACAAGGACTCCCAGATCCCTCTGCAGTGACACACTGAATCCGCTTTCCATTTAAGTAATAAATTTTGTTCATTTAAGTTTTCCAGCCAGAATGGATAAACTCGCACTTACCCGCATTGAAGTGCATCTGCCAGATTCTGGTCCCACTCTCCTAGCCTATCAATATCTGTCTGTAAACTCTATCACCTCATCACTGCCTGCTTTCCCACCTACCTTAGTATCATCTGCAAATTTTGCCACGTTACACTGTCCTTGCTTACAGGTCATTTATAAAAGATTGTAAATAGGTGAGACCCAAGAACTGAACCCTGCAGCATCCCACTAGACTCAAAATGTAGTGCGGAAACAGACCCTTCGGTCCAATGCACAATGCTGACCAGTATCCTAAATTGATCCAGTCCCATTTGCCAGCATTTGGCCCATATCCCTCTAAACACTTTCTATTCATGTCCCCATCCAGATGCCTTTTAAATGCTGTAATTGTACCAGCCTCCTCCACTTCGTCTGGCAGCTCATTACATACATATGCCACCCTCTGCATGAGGAAGTTGCCCCTTTAGGTCCCTTTTAAATTTTTCCCCACTCACCTTAAACCTATGCCCTCTAGTTTTGTACTCCCCCACCCTGGGGAAAAGAGACTGGAAAGATACAACTGGATCGGAAACATGCTAATGTGACACCCTTATTCAAAAAAAAAGAGACAGGGTAAAAAAACACCAAACTATAGACCAGTTAAGCTTGACTTCTGTAGTGGGGGAGTTGCTGGATATCCATGCCCGAGTTAGTTTGCCATCCAGAGAAAAATCCATTTATCCCCAACCCTCTGCTTTTTGTCAGCCAGCCAATATGTTACCCTTAAGCCCCTGGGATCTAACCTTCTGGATCAGTCTTTTATGCAGCAATTTGTTAAATGCCTTCTGGAAGCCTGGATCTCCTGTAACCACCTTGCTGGTTACATGCTTGAAGTAAAGCAGGTTTGTCAAACACTATGTGCCCTTTGTGAAACAGTGCTGACACTTGGTTTCCCCCCCTCAAGGGGTCAGTTATCGCCTGTGATAAGATGCTGGAGTCAGAGGTCAAACTCACTGGTCTGTAGTTTCCCACCTTTTGCCAGTTTTGTTTTCTGACTAAGGGAGCCATATGAGCAAGTTTCCAATCCACTAGTGGCATTCCAGAATTCGGGGGATTTGGAATATCATAACTAATGCATCCACTATCTCCACTGCCACCATCTTTAACACTAAGGTGCAAGTCCTCAGGCCCCAGGGACTTATGTGCCTCTAGACCCATCATTAATACCTTCCCCCCAATTATAGTAATCAAGCTCCTGTGGCATCTGTAGATTTTGGGAAGAAGTTAACTTCCCTGTGCAAACAGAAAATATTGGTTTAGTGCCTCTGCCATTTGAGTTTCCCTATTATCTTGCCATGTTCATCCCCTATAGGGCCAATATTTACTTTCACTGTTTTCTTCCTTTTTATGTATTTATAGAAGCTTTGGGTATCAGTGCTTTGTTTTCTGCTAATGTCCTTTCATAGTCCTGTAAATCCTGTCTATCTACAAGGCACAAGTCAGGAGTGTGATAGAATACTCTCCACTTGCCTGGATGGGTTCAGCCCCAACACTGAAGAAGCTCGACACCATCCAGGACAAAGCAGCCCCCACTTGATTGGCACCACATCCACAAACATCCCACTCCCTCCACCACCGACACTCAGCAGCATTTACAAGATGCAATGCAATTATAGTGCCAACCTGTACTACACTGAAAGCAGATGGCCACATGGGGGCATCACTACAAGGGTGAAAGCAAAAGGAATATGGCTACCCCTGCCTGGACAGAGGTGCGTGGGATCAAGTTGCATTAGGAAAATGGGGGGGCAGGGGTTCAGGAAGAGACTAGCACTGAGTATAAAGAGATGGGCCGGTTTTGTGCCAGACACTGACTTTTTTCAGAACCACCATCCTCTGTAGAGGTTCCCTGAAGCATTGCAGGATGCAGAAGCAGCTGTAAATTTGAGCTGATCCCTGCCGATTGTCAATATCGGTGGGGGCGCAGTATACCACTTCCCTACCCCACCCTCAAAAGCCCTGGCTAATTCAATCCCCTTTCTGACTTGAAGCAACATGGGACTCTCGGCAACAAAGAAAGTCAAAACCAATTCAGTACTAGGGGAAAATGACCCAACAGCTGGAATTGCATGGTGCCAGTTATTCTGGTCCCTGCAAGACCAGGAAAAAAAAACACCAAGCAGCTTTGCAGGACACCCACGTACAGAGATAGTTGCCCTGATTTTCTGGCTGCCTGCCATTTCAATACCCCACTGTGTTCCCGGGCCAACATCTATCTTGGGTTTTGCCTACAGTGCGCCAGCAAAGCTCAGTGCAAGTTGGAAGAACACTTCATTTTCTGCTTGGGGACCCCGCAGCTTTCGGGACACTATATAGAGTTCAAATCAGTTTAGGGTTTGAGTGCCTTCTCCCATGTTTTAACCCGAACACACCAGGCCCTATCACCATGTGGACTGCCACCGACTGTCAGCTACTCATTGTTCCAGACTGACTTATCCATTCACAGAAACAAATTGCTGGAGAAACTCAGGTCTGACAGCATGTGGAGAGAAATTAACATTTCAAGTCCAGAGACCCGACGGCTGCCCATTTCTCTCTGGGCTCCAGCTCTACCTATTGTTCACTCTTAACCCTTCTCACTCCAGTCCTTTAGCACATCATAGAATCAAATCAGAATCCCTAATGTGGAAACAGGGCCTTCGGCCCAACAAGTCCACAATGAACCTCAGAGGATCCCACCCAGACCCACCCCCCGTAACCCATCCAATCTACACATCCCTGGGCACTGTGGGGCAATTTAGCACAGACAATCCAACCTAACCTGCACATCTTTGGACTGTGGGAGGAAACCCACAGAGACACGGGGAGAATGTGCAAACTCCACACAGACAGTTGCCTCAGAACGGAATTGAACCTGGGTCCCTGGCGCACTGAGGCAGCAGTGCTAACCACTGAGCCACCATGCTGCCTACACCAACCTTTTCCAAACTGCCATCAGTTCTGAAGGGGTGTTAACTCTCTCTCTGCAGATGCTGCCACACCCACCAAGTTTTTCCAGGAATTTTTGGTTTGGACATTGAGAGCAACAGCTGACCTTCTCACTGGATTCCAGCTCCGATGTGTGCCACTAGGCTTACTTCTCAGGCTAACAGCCTTCCCCCCTCTTGCCCCACTGAGCTTGGTCAGTCAACTGATCAGGGCCAGACAGCCCGATCGTCTGCCACAGTACAGTGCTGGGGAGGCAGCACTGTCAATCCTATACAGAAGCCTCTCCTCCGGCCTGAACATCAGAAAAGCAGCACAGCACAATCAAAAACCCATACAGTGATAGCATAATTGGATTCCAATGTGCACATTGGTTTCAAACTGAAATCTTTATTTGTACATAGATCCAACAATTCTACAGTATACAGTGGAGATGGCAGAGCTGTTGGGTGCCAATTACAAAATGCAACAAGACAATCTGAGGGAAGGATGGTGGTGGATGGTGAGTGGCTTCAGTACCCAAGAGTACAGCTATTCACAGTCTGAAGAGTACCCTTCCTCTCACCCACTGCCCACCACATGATCTGAACACAAAGGTCATGCTACAAAGGGCCACGAGGTGGGGGGGCGGGGGCAAGACAGTAAAGCAGGGGGCATGAACTACAGAGACTGTACACTAAGGGCCTGCAGGAAGGCAGTGATGTGGCTGGCCATGACTAAACCACAGTTTGGTTCCTTACCAAGAGCTGCTGCAAAGACAAAGCGAGACAGGTAGGCAGCTGGTTGAGGAGAGTCAGAGAAACCAATACTGACACAAAGAGGCAGCAGAATGAGACAGACAGAGACACAGCTAGGTGGTAGAAACAGGCAAGATGAGGAAAGCAGTTAACCCCTCACTGAGGTGATACCCCATGGGCATCTCTCCACCCCTGCATCTCACATTCATCCCCACAGCAACTCCTTGCCCCCAGATGGGTGGAGATCATTGGTACAGCTCAGAGACAGAAGTCAGCTATCAGCTGAAACACTTTCATTAGCATGGCCCTGATGGTGTCTACAGGGTCTTTCCACAACTCTCCCCCCCTCCCAAATCAACCAGGATCCAAAAGGAGCAAGGTCACATCGAGGACGTGTCAAAGTCAGCTTTGGGGCAGCTCGCTGTCCAGCTGGGATCCTTTGAGAGCATTGTCATATTTGGAAAATAAACTGTACACTTGCACACACCAGTTTTTATCTCACACCTCTCCATGGCAGCGTGGGGCAGAGCTCCCACACTGTGCCATCTTTGATTCAATAACACTTAGACTGCTAAGACTCGTGGGGCAGCTCCACACTTCAGCCAGTGAAATAACAACAGCCTCTGACTGGGTCCATCAAGCTGTTGCCCCCCTCTTACTGCACATCCACCCAGGCCACAAACAGAGTGAGAGAGCATCTTCCCTACTCCTTAAGATCTGAAGTAGCAAATGGTGTTCCATCACTAGCCTCCTCCCACCCCCTGAAATCTGGAATTTAAAAGCCCCCCCAAAAAGGTGCATTTTTGTGTTTAAAAACATTCATTCACCATCAATTCAAACACATCTTAGAAAGTGACACTGGGATCTTTGATAACCTTTGTTTAAAAATGAAGACATTACGAGTGAAGGGCTGTGATAGACCAAGTGCCCCCTGGTGCGATGGCTCAAGAGTGGCTGTGGGTTGGGTCTGCACAGGTTGCTCCAAGTGGCAGAGTGTGCGGGTGTGGGTGGCATGCGTGCCCAAGAGGTCACTGTGGTAATCTGCTTGGTGGGTATGTGACAAAAATCAGTCACTAGTAGTTGCAGCAACTGAATGCAGGATCCAAATCTCAAGGTGGAGGGGGGTGGGTCATTCAATTCTACACTCCACCCTTGAGGAGGGGGGCACATCCTCAATGCTCCCAGGGCTGATGTGCACCAACCTGACCCTGGCCACTCAGTACATAGCGCACCTCTCGGGGCAACAAGCCTGTGCCAAAGTGCAGAGCTGTGCAGTGTGTCTTTAGCACATTTAAAGGAACCAAAGCACCCGAGAGGCAGGGTAAATGAAATCAAAGACATGGAGGTGTTCAAACCGGGTGATGAGTATGTCGACCACTTTGGTTAGCATTCCCACTGAAGTGGGAAGGGGAAGGGAGTAATGGGGAAGGGTGTTGGGAGGGCAGGAGAACAGGCTGTGGGGGGAGGATGGAGAGTCACTCCTGTCTCCGCTTGGAGGGTGGGACTAGATGCTCAGGCAGTTCATTGGGCAGCTCGTGGCCTTCCAGCTTGACCTTGATGAGGTGGTTGGCCAGGGCAAACTCCTCGTCGTCCAGCATGCCATCCTTGTCCACGTCAGCAAGCTTCCAGATCTTGCCCAGCACCGTGTTGGGCAGTTTCGACTTGACCATCTCCTTCTTGGCACTGGCGCCCGTCACCTTGCCATTGACCGGTGACAGGGTGTAGAAGATCTCGTCGTACATGGGCTTGTCCCTGCCCACCACCCACTCCACCTCGTCAATGCCCTCGCCTGCCCCCTCTCCATAGCCAGCACCAAACGGCCCGTTCATGGTGCCCTCAAAGGCGCCACCGTGAACAATTTGCTTGGGCATCTGAGCCTCCTCCTGGCGCACCATGGTCATTAGGCGGGCAATGTCATTGGCCAGCATGTCATCAACCATGTCCAACAGTTTGGGCTTGAGGCTCTGGAATTTGGTAAAATCCATTGTCTGCAAGTGTTCCTAAGACAGAAAAAAAACAATGTTACACAGGTCCTCAACGTCAACCCTAACCAGACCCTCATCACAAAGGTGACTTGGCACAGAAGCAGTCCCAATCTAGTATACCAGAGTATCAGCTCCACTCGAACCTCCTCCCATCTCCCTATGTGTGAGATGACTGCAGATGGAGGGGGGGCTCTGGTCAAAACAAGGTGGAGAAACTCAGCAGGCCCACTAGTGTCTGTGCAGACAGGAACAGTTAACGTTACAAATCTGGTATGACGTCTTCAGGGCTTTAAACTGCTTCTCTTTAGCAGACCTGCTAAATTTCTCCAGCACCTTGTTTTTATTTTTTGTATATGTCATCATCTCCCACATTTACACCTAAAAGGTGGAAAACAGGACATTTATTTCAACCACACCCATGGCAAGTCTCCCATTTTCTGGGTGAGGAGATTTCTCCTGGATCCCTGACTAGATTTCTTGGCATTTGTTGTATATGTGACGGCCTGTATTGATATGCCCTCCCACCCCCACCCCTTAAACAATCCTGTATCATCATTTAAATCTTCCCTACAGCCTTTCCAGTGCATCTATATCCTGTTTGTAACAGCAGTCAGAACTGCAGCTTCCAAGTATGGTCTAATCAGGATTCAATACAGACTCCACACAAACCACCCCCCAAACCTTGCTATGCAAGCCCTTCAGAAATGAAATCCAAACCTCGGCATGCTTTCTTTAAAATGGCCTTGCTAATTAGCAGTGCAATTTTTAAATAAATTCACTCTTGGGATGAAGCAACACTCACATGTTACCCATCCCCCACTGTCCTTGAATGGAACGTTTTTCAGCCATTTCAAAGGGATGTTAAGAGTCAACCACACAGACCAGACTGGGTAAGATTTCCATCTGGGAAGGACATTAGAGAACCAGATGGGCTTTTTTGGCAACAAGTTGACAGTGATCACATGGTCACCATTAGGCTATTAGCAGATTTTTGTTGAATTCAAATTTCACATGGGATTTGAACCCATGCTGCCTTTGTTCTGGATTACTCGTTTGACGACATTACCACTGTGCCACCACTTCTTGTAAAACAATTAGTGTTTTGTAGTCCTTCTATTCTCCTGCACATTCACCTTTCAGGTTTAAATGTCCTCCCTGATGAAATACACAAGCTCTCACTCCCTGGCATTTAATGTTATTTGTCAACCATTTGCTCCTTAGGGCTTTGTAGAATTTACAGTCATACAGCACGGAAACAGACCTTTCGGCCTAACTCATCCATGCTGACCATAATCCCAAACTAAACTAGTCCCACCTGCCTGCTCCTGGCCCATATCCCTCCAAACATTTCCCATTCACGTACCTATCAAAATGTCTTTTAAATAGTGTAACTGTACCCACATCCACCACTTCCTCAGGCAGTTCACTCCACACAAACTACTGTGTAAAAAAGTTGCCCCATGTCCTTTTTAAAATCTTTCTCCTCTTGCATTAAGCCTATGGCCTCTAGTTTTGGACTCCTCTACCGTGGGGAAAAGCATTTGGCTATTCACCTTAGAGTTTTACCAAATCATGAGGCATAGATAAGGTCACCCCTCAACTTCCGACACTCCAGTGAAAGACCCAGCCTATCGAGCCTCTCCTTTTAACTCTCACCCTCCAGTCTTGGTAGTGTCTGTGTACATCTTTTCTGCACTCTTTCCAATTTAATAAGATTTTCCTATAGCAGGGTGACCAGAACTGAATGCAGTATTCTAAAAAGCGGTCTCCTCTACAGCCTCAACATGACGTCCCAACTCATACACTCAATGCACTGACCAACGGAGGCAAGTGATCATTTGAGTCAATTCCAGAATTTTATTGAATTCAATTTCCACCATCTGCTGCAGTGGGATTTGAACCTGGATCTCCAGAACATTACCCAAGTGTCTCGATTAATAGTTTAGCTATTAGTATCAGTTAATCATCGAGCTAATAACCTCGATTACACCAGACCATTGCCTCCACATTTAATATATTAAGGGCAATTAGGTGGGCACTCAAACAGGGTAGACAAAGCCCAGGGATATACCTTGAGATAGTAAGAACTGCCAATGCTGGAGTCAGAGATAACAGTGTGGAGCTGGAGGAGCACAGGAATATACCTTTGCTGCCATCCTCCTCCGTATAGGTCACCCCTAGTTCAGCATCCTTCACAAATTTAGAAACTGCTAAATTCAAAGGCTGAATCATTTGCATAGAGCAAATATACCAATTTCCACCTTCAGAGACAGAAAACCTCCCACTGTGGGTTGCTAGCTGGCTTCAAGGCAAACCATTTTGCCATCTGCACCCTGACTTCACACGGCCAGACTTTCCAATCAGTGCCTGAAGAACCTTACATTAGGAATTGAGTGCCCAGATGGATTTACATCTCTGCATTACTTACTGGGCACTGGGAAGTGGAGATGAAAAAGAGAATGGCAAATATGTCAGGGGAAGGGAGAAATCAGTTGTGTTTGGGGAGCAGGGGGGGTGTGGTTTGGGTTGGTGGAGGAAGAAAAGAAGTTTAACATCAACTCAGCCACATAAAGACCAGCAGCAGCTCCTACACCAAGCAAGCCCAGACAGTTTAAAATAGCAGAGATAGTAGGAACTGCAGATGCTGGAGAATCTGCAATAACAAGGTGTAGAGCTGGATGAACACAGCAGGCCAAGCAGCAGAGGAACAGGAAGGCTGACGTTTCGGGCCTAGACTCTTCAAAATAGCACTTTATTTTGGGTGTGAACTTCAAGCTTTTGGGTTTGCCATAGTTCTGCTGAAGAACCACAAGAACCACTTTAAATACAGAAATACTCCAGGATAACAGAGCAGATCCAACTACTAAAACCCCTCTTGCCTTGTAAAGTCATCCGTCATTAGGCACTCCAGCTCCTTCTAAAATTCAGTCTACTGCCAACCCCAAAATAAAGTTTATACAATGGGTGGTGGCCTGTAAAAAAGGGAATCTTAAGCAGGGGAGAAGGATCTGAAGCAAGCTGTCCCCAGGCCATTACAGCCAGGGTTTGTGATTACTAGGTCAGTCACACCTTTACACCACTGATTGCCAAGCTGATCTGGAGCAGGAAGGGCTCTAAACAATATTGGGAAGCAAGATGCCATTCAGCCCCTCTGGTCCACCTTGCTCATTTTATCATGCTGCACTTGCTTTCCTTCTACTTCATATCCACAGACGCTCACTAATTCTGAAACAAGAGGTGGCATTCACCACCTCAGAAATATTCAGTGAACGCAGGAGTAGGCCATCTGGTCCCTCAAGCCTGCTCTGCCATTCAAAAGATTATGGCTAATCTTCTCATGGACTCCACTCCACTTACCCACCCGCTCACCATAACCCTTAATCCCTTTACTGTTCAAAAATCCATCATTGCCTTAAAAACATTCAACGAGGTAGCCTCAGCTGCCTCACTGGGCAGGGAATTCCACAGATTCACAACCTTCTGGGGCAAAGACATTCCTCCTCAGTTCAGTCCTAAATCTGCTCCGCCTTTGCCTTCTTGTTCTAGTTTCACTCACCAGTGGAAACAACCTCCCTATTTCTATTTTATCCATTCTCTTCATAATTTTGAGTGTGTCTATTGGATCACGCCCTCATTCTTCTAAATTCCAATGAGTGTAGCCCCAATCTACTCAATGCAACCCTCTCAACTCTGGGACAACCTGGTGAACCTCCTCTGCACCCCCTGCAGTGCCAGTTCACCCTTTAAGGAAACCAAAACTCCACACGTGAACACATGACTGATCTGTAACCTAACCCCATAAGCCATTACCCTATGTCCCTTAACACATTGGATTCACAGTGAAACCTCCCTTTGCAGCTAAACATTAGCTCTAACCTTTTGCGTTGGGGATGTGGTAGGGTACAGGGTGAAACATACGTCAGCAGGTAGTGATGTCAGGGAAGGAGGCTGGAGACAAAAGAAGGGGAGAATGTCAGCACTTACCTGCATCTTCTTCAGGTTGGGGAAGTCACCCGGAGAGATCTGATGCTCCCGTTCGATCTTCTGGTAGATGTCTCCGAGGCTGTTGATGAGTTCCTTCTTCTTGTTCTCCTTCCCGAAAACGCTCGGCATTTCCTTCTTTAGTGAGGAAATGATATAGGCGTGAACCTGGGAGAAGAGAAGAGACGAGACATTCACTGTTTGATGGGGTACCTGTTACTAACCATGTGGACCAGTGAACACACCATGGAGACTAGGTGGCCTGCAGGCTCGAAAGGACCAATACCAGGTTAGAAACACGAGTGACTCAGCTCAAAGTCAGCTGAAATTAAATACTGCTCCAGAGTTAGATGCTAAATATCGGATGGCTTTAGTGACCCTTTGGGGCTTCCATCCCTTATTTTGGTTCAATTTTGTTATCTTTTATTAAAAACGATGAGCAGGGGTTTGAGCTACGCGGAGAGGCTGGATAAGCTAGGACTATTTTCCAAGGAGTGTTGGAGGCTGAGGGGTGACCTTAGAGAAGTTTATAAAATCATGAGGGGCACGGATAGGGTGAATAGCCAAGGTCTTTTCCCCAGGGTAGGGGAATCAAACTAGAAGGGCATAGGTTAGGGAGAGGGGAGAGATTTAAAAGGGACCTAAGGAGCAACTTTTTCCACAGAGGGTGGTTCGTGCATGGAATGAGCTGCCAGAGGAGGTGGAGACGGCTGGTACAATTACAACATTTAAAAGGCAACTGGATGGGTATATGAGCCAAATGATGGCAAGTGGGACTAAATTTGGGATAGCTGGTTGGCATGGATGAGTTGGACCAAAGGGTCTGTTTCTGTGCTGTCCAGCTCCGACAGACAGCTCAGACTATTTAGGACATCAGTAGAACTTGTTGCACTTCAGAAGTGGGGCAACATGGGGAGCTTTACTCTAAGTAACCCATGCTGTAGCTGTCCAGGGAGTGTTTGATAGAGACAGTTACAGAAACTTCCACTTTAAGAATAGAGGGACACCGTATCCAATCTAGGCTAAACTAGGAGTCTTTGCCATTTGGAGAATGGTTCCACAGTGAATACTTCATTGCCTAGGCCCCATGCTCCCCAACTCCCTCCCTAAATCTCCCCACCACTTTCAGACACCTAAAACTGACCTCTGGCCAAGTTTTTAAGCTGCTTGTCCAAAGGTCTCATCGTCTGACTCAGTGCCTAATCTTGCTAATAAAGCGATTTAGTTTAAAAAAGGTGCATGCAAAGAGCATGATAAAAGTTAATTGCACTTCACAGTCTGAGGCAGAGTCAGTAGGATTTCAGGAGAGATAACCCAGCATTACACAACTGAGCAAGACTCAACAAGCCAAGACTCAGGCAGCCTGCACTACTGGTACTGGTTTAACCAGTGGGATTCAACGTACAAGCTGCATTTGTGAAATGTTCAACAGCGTCAGCAATAATTGGTGCTTTAAAACAGGCTGTGGGGGAGAAAAGAGCTGCCTCACATTAACCAGAGAGTGTGGAGAGAGTTGCAAACCAGCACAGGACTGGACTCAGCAGTGGACTGTGGAAAGGAATCTGACAGCAGCACAGACCATGGCTACAGTGAGCTGCACAGGGAAAGCAAACTGGAGGGGTTCCTATGGAATAAAGTGGAGGATGTGGGTACAGTTACAAGATTTAAAAGGCATTTGGATAAGTACATGAATAGGAAAGGTTTGGAGGGATATGGGCCAAGCGCAGGCAGGAGGCTTTAGTTCAGTTTGGGATTATGGTCAGCATGGACTGGTTGGACCAAAGGGTCTGGCTCCACGTTGTATGACTATGAAAGAACATCAATGCTGGAGTGCTGCCTCTAGTCCAGCCTTATCAGCTGATCCATACCCTACAGGCTTCCTGCCACTTCACTGCAGCCAGCAAGCAAAAACCCTGTGCAGCAAGTCAAATTAGCAACAAACTCTGATACAGAAAACAAAGAATGTCAGCTGCTGGAGATCCAAAACAAAACAGGGCATACTGGAGAGACTCAGCAGATCCTACAGTAGAGACCCAAAATATTTTTTCTTTTATTCATTCATGGGACGAGGGCATCGCTGGCTAGGCCCAGCATTTACTGCCGATCCTTAACTGCCTAGAGGGCAGTTCAGAGTCAACCACATTGCTGTGGGTCTGGAGTCACACGTAGGCCAGACCAGGTAAAGATGGCAGTTTCCTTCCCTAAAGAACATTAGTGATTCAGATGTGTTTTACCAACAATTGACAATGGATTCACAGTCATTAGACTCTTAATTCCAGATACTTAGAATTCAAATTCCACCATCTGCCATGGCAGGATTCGAACCCAGGTCCCAGAACACTCTAAGTCTCTGGATTAATAGTCCAGCTTTTTGTGATCTTTATAAATCACTTGGATGAGGAAGTGGAAAGGTGGGTTAATAGGTTTGCCCATGACACGAAGGATGTTGGAGTTGTGGACAGCGTAGAGGGCTGTTGTAGGTTGCAACGGGACATTAACAGGATGCAGAGCTG